AGCAAATCACAAAGGCGGAAGAGATTGTTGTTTTTCAATATGTTGCCGGTACGGGTGGGAATATTTTCGGCCATAAAAGCTCGGGATTGATTTTTATCCCCAACATAACAATAACATAAGGTAGGACGCGGAGTTAGTAGGTACCTGTTCTATTTCATTTGAGTGAAGCAAGATGGCCGTTTTGACGGAAGTCCCATTGTGTTATTGTTGCACCGTGCATTATGGAGTATTATTAACAACAAGCAATATTGTTTACATTTGCTTATGTTGTATTTTACAACGCTTTCAAAATATGTTATGCATTCGTCCGTATTCTTTGTATGTTATGTGATTATGATACCATTTCTGATAGAATAGATAGAATTTATTTCTGTATTGGTTTTATTTATTTTATTGTGTTCTCATTTCATGTTACATACTTTCTTTACAGAACCATATAGACATTTTCTAGAATGTAACAGAAATGGCCGATGTAAAATAACTGTCATAACAAGCTTAAAGATAGATTATAGAAAGTTTAATGAAATTATACGTGAATTCAAACTTTGGATGTTTATTATTTAATTACGCATAAACGGCTTAATGAATTGAATGTAATTTAGCTTACAGATTGATTATATTTAAAATAATTACATTTATAAGATACTCTTCTCAACTTCCCAAATATTTAGCTAGTAGTTTTATTCTATTTTCATCATAATTTTCTTCACCTTAAAATGTTCTCAATGATCAGTTCCAGCATCAGAAAATAATTATGGAACTAGCTTCAGAACTATGACTTATTTTTCTTTTATGTAACGAAATTGAAAGCATTAGCATTCTTGGGAGTGGCATTGACGAAATAAATTTAATCAAATTAGATCGAATGGATTAAAATTGACGTGAAGACAAATAATATACTTATAGAATGAACTGCAAATAATAAGCTCTTATTTTAAGTAGCAAGTAACTAAGCTGTAAACCGTTAGCTGATGGTTTCTGGCCAAAGCCTAATAAATAAATAAAAAAGCTGTGAACTGTTTATACTATCAATCGTCAATATTGGCATTCATTGATTAAAATTAATTCAACATCGCTTGTGCAAAATTCCTATTTAATAATAAATTGTAACTAATTATTTTCAAACTGTTATTAGACAATTAGGAAATCAGACGTAATATTACTTAGTTCAATATTAAAATACCTGACTTAATAAATATTTTTTTTACAAAACCAAGACCTCGTTTATAATGTAGCAATATTTGTCTATCTATTTGCCAAAACTGTAAATATTTAAGTTCGATTAAAATGAAACTTTGCACTGTAATATGAGATAAATAATGAAAATTTATAAAAACAACTTTATATATATTTTTTTAATATTCCTTCCTATCGTTTGGAAGAAATTACAGCAACAAAAAATTGCAATTTAGTATATCTCTAAATTAACTAGTCTATAAAATTTTAATTAAATACAGTCTAATAACAATACAATATGTATCTTCATTAAAGTTATGCCATAGTAACTTCGTGTGTTTATTACATAGTTTAGGTACTAATCAATCTCACTGAAATCTTAATTAATCGTATTCTAGACATGTATTAGTATTAAGTCTCTATTAAATTTATGAAATTCATAGAGATGTTTGAATAATATGCTTTCATTTTTTTTTATTGCACAGATATATAATCTTACTAATCCTAATTAAAAATATGTCTGTAAATATATGTTCATGTATTGTTTACACAATTGCCTATAGACAGACTATAGTATTAATTTTATCCTAATTCATGCGGGCAGAGTCTTGGGGATAAGTTATATTTATTATTAGGGGAGTGTAATATACATATTGCAATATCTATATGCTTTTGTTTCAATATATTAGTAAGTATCCAATATATAGATATTGTAACATTTACAACGAATATGTTAAAATTTTGTTATCCAAAAAATAATATTTAATAACAGACTTAACTATATTTGAAAATATGGACGAGTGGCGGTCATCCACCGTGCGTTTTTCAAGGCACTTTCTTCCACGCACAACCATTCTTAGGAATCAACTTCCAGCAACAGTATTTCCGAACCGATACGACAACATAACCTTCAAGAAAAGAGTATATTCCTTTTTAAAAGGCCGGCAGCACACCTGCAATGCCGCTGGTGAGTGATCATGGGCGGCAGTAGTCACTTACCATCAAGTGAGCCGAATGCTCGTTTGCCCCCTGTGTTGTAAAAAAAATAGATATCCGACCGATATTAGTGGTATCGAAATGGGCGATGAATTTTTTTCCACCATCAATGTCCAGAGAAGCCCAATATATAGACATAGGATCGGTATCCATGCCTATTTGTTATTAATAATTACAGAGTAATATTAAAAATATCAATTTTGTATCCTATGTATTCATAGGGAGATTTAGGTAGGTAGATATAGAGGTAAGTACATAATTTGCGGCATTTGCCTGTGGCTTCAAGCGTTAATGAAGCCTCATCGTCTGAGCGTCGGATTCATTAACTCTCCCGAACTGCCGCACAGACCATTGCACAACTCTCATTATTATAATCATATTTTGTACAAATTATGCCTGATTTAGCGGTTGAATGCACAACGTGGTAATTGGAATCAGTACTGATAAATAATTGTTCTTTTAGTATTTACTGTATTTTTTTTTATATCAAAAAAGTGATAATTTAGGCACTAGTGAGGGATGATAAGTAAGAATGAACGGGCAGGTCAATTAGCTGAATTCCAGGTATAATCATCACGATAGTTTCCAAGGGGATCGCGGGGAGGTCAACCTAATAGGACCATATTGTTAACAATGGGACTGGTAGTTCGCATTACTAACAATCTATTCCTACCGTGTGTAAACGATTACCTTAGTCTATATTATCCTTGATGCCCAAGGATGAATAGCATGTTTTAAAAAAAATATTAAGTATGAATATATAAATAGCTATAAAGATATAGAAAGACCTAAAAGACATAGATAAACTATGTGAAAGACTATATTGAAATATAAATGTATGCGAATTTGTCTTATTAATAATATACAGTGGGAACAGAAATTACTAACTTTAAGAAAAATAATTAACACATGTGGGTTTTTATAACGTAAATATATAAAATATTTACTCTAAATATATTTTAACGTGTTTCTTCGTATAAAAATTTATATTTTTAATCATAACACAATATGAAACCAACTTTAGGGTAGGTATATTATTTTAAATTCACGATCGGTACTTAACGCGACGCGATTACAGATAAATAGTATCTAAAACCTATTTTTTCTTGTCGACGTTTTGACGTGGATTTCACCAAATCGTGGTCATAGCAGGACTGAAGTGTATGACAGCCCGCGCAGTTTTTTCGGCCACCCTCACATTATCACTTTTGTCGTCTATATTCTGTGGAAGGATCGTTCTTGAGTGGCGACCCCGTCCAACCATATGGAATGTAGGACGAAATTTCGCATTAGTTAGGGCAAAAAATTGTTACACGAAGTGTAGTGGTGATATCTGTTTGGATTCATATCTATGGGTACAATATAATAGACAACGAACCGAATAAGTGAATAAATTTATCTCGCTTAATGGATTTCTTAAAAGCCTGCCAAGACTACCGTGGCTCCCACCCATACCTACAAAATAAAGCGAAATTCTTCTAAACGGCCTTTTGATTGTTCAACTCTGAAATCAAACGGTGAGATATAAAAGTATATCATAAAATTAAGATTACACTGACTCGTCATGATTATGATAGAAGATCTGTTAACAGAAAACAACTGAAAGTATTATCATTAAGAATAAAATCGGCGCTTTTTGTACTATTGAAGCATTTCATGATTGATCACTTTTGAATTGCTCTTTTTTGAATGAGATAATTAGAACTATTATCACACTAGTAATCCACCCCGGCTTCACAAGAGTGGGTAAATAGGGAATAATATATAGCGTTTGTTAATCGCTTACTAAAGGTGAAATAATGTTTAAAATCAGTTATGTAATTGCGTAGTTTATCCATTACAAACATAAAACAATTGAAATCTTTCTAATATTAGTAGATATTATATCATACTAATAAAACTCAAGAAGCAAACTTTTAAACTTGATAAAACCAAATAATATTTATATCAAAAGTAAATCGAAAATGCATAAAGATTTTTTATATTATCAAATCCCTAAAACGGCTCATAAGATTAAACAGGATTGAAAACATGACGCTCCATAATATTTTCGCGGACGGGGAAATAATTACCAAGATATCATCCGAGTAGCGGGTAATAAAAGCAGTCAAAAACACTCGTCTGGAATTAAAAGGAATTTAATAGGCGTAGACATTATTTGAACGTGGCTGTTTTCGGTTGGAAGTAACCGTGTTTAAATTATACACCGTGCTGGCATTTATTTTATGGTACTGGTGTAGGTGTGTACTCGTACATGATGTTAATACAAAAAGAAATGTATTAACATGTGATTTATACACATGTATTATTCTTACGTATTATTTTAAAGAAGTATTAATTTATTTGTCTATACTAATATAATAGAGAAGAAATATTTATTTGTTTACTTTTAATCGATAACATTAAAAACTACTTAACCGATTTTAATAATTCTTACGTCTATAGATAGCTATATGTATGTCATCATATATCATCATAGCCGTTATATATCCAATGCTGAACATAAGACTCCCTCTTAGGGTTTTTGCCAGTAGTTGCCACGCTTAACAGACGGGTTAGAATTCAAATATGGGTGTGTAAAATGTTAAGTTGCCCATCCACAACGAACAGTTAGCCTCTGTCTGCTCCATCATGAATTGTAGTCATAAGATTATTTTTTATAGTTATAGACGCTAAAATTTAAACCCATTGTTCCCTTGTTTTCGCTAGTCGGTTCTGACAATATCCTAAAGATGACCAGAAGTGGTTCTTACATAAACATCTTTCCAACAACAAGACCACTCGGAAATCGAGTATTTTTCTAATTCCAATACGTATTATGTTTACAGATCGACAGAACTGCAACGCTAAGGAGCAGTGTACATCCGAAAAGCGGCGCCATGAGGACGGCGGGGCCCACGTGAGGTCCCGCCACGCTATGGGCTCCAACATCAGCCAGCACTCGGCCAAGGGACTGAAGGGCCGCCGCGCCAGATCCAGCGGAGACTTATGCAATGGCGACAGCAAGAGTCAGACCGAGTCGTCGGTGTGTGGTTCCGTGGTCGGCGACGTCATGGGATGGAACAGGTCGCTACCGAACCATTTAGACGGGAATCGCCATTTGGCAGATTATAGCAGAGTCAATAATAATTACGGAGAATTTGCGACGTACAACCGTTGTCACTCAAAGGGGCGAGGGTTACGCTACAGAGTTTCGAAGTCTGGTAAGTTATATTTATTATTATGTAAATTATACAATTATAATAAATATTTATTTATCGTCTTTACTCACGGATAGTTTCGAACTCGATAGGAACCCTTATTCATGAACTAATAATTATCATAGTTATTATTCCGACAAATAATTACTGAAAAATTAATTAGAAATTAATTTTATTAATAAATATGGAGGTATAATATGTACTTTAATCTTCACGAATGGGCATTACTAAATATATTGTGATGTATGGTTACCGATATCCATCAGATGATTTGTCACTTTTCTATTCCAAAGCATAAAAAAGTAGATTTAAAAATAAATAGATATTTTTCTCATATCAAAGGATATCAAAGCCGTCTTTGTTACGTAGTTAGTGCCACATAGATGCTGCTGTATAGATGTTTCACTGAAAAAGTAAGACAGAATACCTACACAAGTATATCATACAAAATGACTTATAAAAGTATTTTTATATCACTGGAGTGGCAAACAAGCATACGGTCCACCTGATGGTAAGCAGTTACCGTAGCCTATGAACGCCTGCAATATACCCATTATACACGCGTTGCCGACCCTGAAGAAGCCACTTTACTCCTTTTTGAACCCCTTCTGCTATAACTTGAATAGTTCGCCAATGCATGTGGTGTTAACACTCAAAAATTGGGGAGGGGGGATTGTTAATAATGCGGACTACCACTCCCATTGTTAGCAATATGCCCAACCAGGTCGACCTCCACATGGTCCTCCCTGGAACCCATCGTGCTGAAACTAGTCTGCTTTTTCATTCTCACCTATCATCTCTCACTGGTGCACTGCCAATGTTAGCACAGGTGGGGTTATCATTCCATTATCATCCATAAAAAAAAACACTCAAAAATTTACACACACACACACACACACACACACACACACACACACACGTATCGCCTACATTTACGTGAAATACAACATATTTAAACGCTCAATCTACTAAATGCTATAAAGTATTTAAAATTCAGCATAATTTGTTACGTTATGAATAATTGATGAGATTTTAATTATAGAATATTACGGTTATTAAATGTTTTCCATTGTCTGATATAGGGTTGCCAACAGGTATCATCAGATTTGTCCTTATTTAAAGGGCGTCTAAGAGTATCTACTTGGAATTTTGTATACTTTTTTAACATACAGAATCAATTCCACATTCTTTTAATCTTCATCATCACCATATCAGCCTTTAACTTACCACTGCTGAACATTAGCCTCTCCCTTGGGGGGTTTTGCCAGTTGTTACCACGTTTGGCAGGCGGATTGACAACTGCAGCTAGGTTTTAGAGATATTTTGAGAGGGACGCTGCTGCCGATCCTTCGTCCCTTAGTCGACTTTTACAACACCCACAGGAAAAGAAGGGGTAGCCTATTCTATGCCGGGACAACACGGGTACTTCTAATATTACTTTGTTGTATTAGTAAGGCAAATTTAGCATCAAAACATAATCCGTTTAGTTTTCCTGAATTTTGTATTTCATATATCGGTTTTGTTGATTTTACACATAGCAACCTTTGTAAGCAAAGCAAGTCAGGTTGTCTCATTATTTTCGGATTACTACAATTTTTGCAGACTTGCCAATATCTGAGTATTAACTCGGTTCTTCTAAAGCCCAACGCTTGGTTACATTATCCCTCATATCTCCAACTTATTACCAGGAAAACGAAAAAGTAACTCATAAAAAAAAAGATAAAACGCAAAAAGAAACATAACAAGCTAAGTATATTAAAACAGCAAAGTCTTAGCAGATTACAGCTCCGCGTAAACGTTATTAAGACGTATGGCCGACGAGAAAAGTCAATTACCGCTTGCTTTACTAAGCAGATCAACGTTATACGAATAAACATTAACAACGCAACGTTAAATACTGCTGTAAAGCCTGTTTCGGACTTAGTCGGTTGGCGAGTGATTTAGTGAAAAGTATTCCACTCAACTAAATCTATACTAATAAATGTGCAAGTGAGTTTGTGTCTTTATTCGTTTGTTACCTCTTACCACCTTAACGGCTTAACCATTTACTATGTATTTTCTACTCAACTAAATCTATACTAATCAATGTGCAAGTGAGTTTATTTGTTTATTCGTTTGTTATCTTTTATCGCCTTAACCATTCACTATAAATATACACGTAGTATACGGGATGAAGATGGGCATAGGCTTTATCCTGGTCAGTCAACATATCCGATCCGGCCAAACGGACGAAATCGTTGGTAAAAATTATTGAAAATAATTTTAAATTTTATCCCACGAAAAGACAGACCGCCTTTAATAATAAACAAACACGTTTACAAGCCATTTTGACAAAAAATACAGAAATCTATTCATAATTAGCAAAAACTCCGCTTAATATATACAAAAATACAACAAAATTATGGAATTCCTACTTTTTTTAAATCGGTTAAATAGTCTATAATCGCTTGTTTTCTTTTTATATACATAGATCAACTACAAAGGAATAAATACATATTAAGAACGAAAATCTTGAAACATCTCTAAAAGCCTAACTGCGGTTACTAACCTGCCTGCCAAACGTGGCAACTATTGGCAAAACTCCCCTTATGGGGAAGGCTTATTATGTTCAGCAGTGGACAGTTAATGGCTGAAATAATAATAATAATAAAGAACGAAAATAAATAGTGCATGCAATTTCTTCATTCATCTAAGTATATGCGACATTTTATTACAAATATTTGGACGTTGTGACGGTTCGCCTATAGTACAATAGGTTTAATACCATAAGTACATAGAAAAGAAACAGGGGTTCCTATGGGTGACCGCTGCGAAAGCTGAGCTATTTAATATAAACAAACTTTAAAGTCAAGGTTCACAATAGTATACAGAGAAGACGTTACCATATATGAAATATTGACACAGAAAGGAAACTCCTTTGATGTGTTTCCAAAGTGTAGTGGATGTCACAAGAAAATTAAATAAATTAAACAAAAATATATTATATTTTATATTAACCAAATTATAGGTTACCTTTTTATCATCAGGTGTAAAAAAGATACATACAACACAGTTTAATAAGGTTTATGAGAGTCTTTAAAGTTTTATAAATTCGATAATCAATTTAATATAAAATACCAAAATACGTTAACATATAATTAAATTGAATTTAAAGAAAAGTTCAGTTCGAATAATAGGCTAAATCTGATTATTGAAATATCTACCCTTCGGTGACATAATCTATGACGTTATTAGAGAAAGAATAGAAAGAAATAAAAAAAAAAGAGAGACGGCAGATCGGCGGGCGCGCGGGAGTCGCTTTTTAGGAATTGCGCAATAAAAAAGAAAAAGAAAAGAAAAAAATGGCGGGGAGTCGTGTTTTAGGGATTGCGCAATAAAATAAAAAAATAACTGGGATATAGATCTAGGAGGGACTGGATCGATGAAGGGGTTTGAGACCTTAGTGTATCACTATCGATTAAGTGTGTGAAATTAATCAATAGAAGACTGGAGAATCCGGTGAGCTTGTTCCATTTATTACTACGTAGTTAGATTTTTGACTGTGATCGCAGGCAAAGTCTATACTTAATATTTTTCCCAACAACTATTAAAATACGTATTTAGTCGAGTCCATATACCTTTAGGTAATGCGTATATCGTTAAATGCAATCACATTTGAACAAATTTTACATCAATATAATTTACGTACTTACGTTATTTTACTCATATACAAAATCCAATTATATGGTCGTTTGATAGAACTTCATCAATTTGATTCAATGTTCTAATTGTCCAGTTTGGAAAATACTTATTGAATCAACTATTGAACTAGTTTCATATCTAGTTATTATAAAGTATTTATTTATTGAGGATAATAGACTAAAGTGACTATGGTCTGGTCTCATTGCTGGGGAAACAGCCATTGATGAGAGAGAGGGGTTATTGAGTGGCGACCCTGTGAATGCAAGTGCGGTGTGGGCTACCTCCATTGTTTGGAGTGACTGTTTTATGTGTAGTGTGGGGCCGTTCCTTGTGTCAGTCGGTGGAAATTGCCTGTGTTCAGTCGTGGGTTGGTGATGGTTGAGACGATGATGATGATGAAATATTTGTATTTATTACACTATTACAGTGTTGGTTTGGAATATCTGTTCATACTTAACGCTTCATGGTGAAGTGGTTTTATACCATTACTCGGTCGACCAGATTAATGATTCTTAGTCTATATTTGATTATCCATGGCTACATGTGGGGATTTGTTTTACACCAGATGTACAAAGAGACAGCTTAACTGTTGCAAGTGATATTATGTGAATGTAATACTTTTAATACATTATTAATTGTGTTACTAGATAAATTCATGTGACTGTGGGGTGTTTATGGTAAACAAGCCTGTATTGTTTAAATAGATATTTTGTCTTGATTTATTATAAACTTTAATATTGATTTTGTTGTAGTAAGCAAGCTGATAATAACAATTCTGTGTGTATTACTGATTACTAATAATATTTAATTATGCTGATATTATAGGTGTGGATTTATTTCCTAATGGTAATAAAAGTACTAAAAGATTCTCTGACTATAGTTACTCTTAACTAGGTATGAGGTTCAGTATAAAATTGGTACTGTATGACTTGTGAAGCTATGTATTTTACTCATATTTAGAAAGGAAGTTGTCCTGGCGATAAGGTTTGTATGTGTGTTGTTTGTTCATGTTATATTGGCTAGACAAGTTCAGACAGGGTTAATATTAGTGAATATTTACTGGATTTATATTTAATATACATGTTTTGAATATTTTATGGGAATAGTATGGAGATATACAAGTAGTAAAATATAATATTAGTATTTTATAAATTTAATTATTGAGTTATATGTTTGTCGGACTGTATCCAAGGAGATATTATCCTATTAATATCAAGTTAGGACAATTACTTTAAATATTAATGAAGCAAACACTAACACTGATTATTCACTTCTTTAATAAATTTACATTAGAGGTTAGAAATCAAATAGATAGCATATTG